GGGACCCCTCCCAGCAGACCAGGGACACCCCGAGCAGACCAGGGACACCCGGAGCAGCTTTTCTCGCCCCAGAGGACGCGGTGGCGGGACCACTGCGTGTCTGGGTGGTCCCGCCGCCCGCGAGTTCCAGGGCGAGAAAAGCCCCGTTCGTAAGTGCGGATCCGACATAAGTCGGATCTGCGTAACTCGGGGACTGCCTGTATTTCGAAATAACTGCCTGTTGTGTAGACACGGACTAAGTTATTTCAAAGTAGAGCTCGTTATTTTGAAATAGTGTTGCTGTGTAGACGTACCTTAGGAGAATACTGTAGGCCCTTTTCCTTTCAGGATACTTAAAGGCCTGATTTTTTGAAGCATTGAGGTGGTGCAACTTCCATCACCTTCAGATAGAATTGAGGCTACTTGGTACAAGACTATTCGTTGTTTTTTAAATTCTTTGAAAATCAGGCTTTGTATGTGTTAAAACAGGTTTGAAGTTTGATTTAAAAGGATGCTGTCAGATCATATATCTAAGTATGCATTAAGAATGTAAATACCTATTTTAAAAGTTAATTGGTTAAACAAAATAATGTTAGTCTCAGAGGGCTGGTGCAGAGCGGCTGGGGTTCCACAGGCAGGGCTCAGCTGCTTCTCCATGGCTGGGGGGCTGCTCCAGCCAGCCAGGCCCGCTGCACCACAGAAGTGGGGCTGCTTCCGCTGGGCCTGGCCCTCCAGTTAACCAGTTACCAGGCAAGCATGCCAGTAAATCTCATGCTTATTGGGTACCCAGTTAACCTTTTACATCTGTATTATCTATATTAACTTGTGTCACTAATGCCACCTTCCACTATGAAAAGAGAATTTTAAAAGTCATTTAATAATCACTGTTTGTGCTGACAATTTACTTTCCGCCTTTCACTTAGTTTGGGCAATGAAAACACGCTAGTTAGTTCCTCTTTTTAAAATAGTAATCTAATTTGTTTATAGTCAGATTTTCATGCTCTAGCGTAGTGCTACATAGTTAGGTTTGCAAAATACTGTGTCACACAGTTGAGTTGTGGGCAACCGGAATTTGAACTGTAACCTACCATGTAGTGTCAATTTAAAAAGAATCTATTTTATAATGCTGAAGAGGATCCCACTGCAGGATTGCCTATTTTAACAGTTTATACTGCAGGACAATTAATTTCATTGTACCATCACCTCTCAATCAAATGACATCACCTCTTGATGAAACCTCAGTAGGCAAAAAGAACAAAAGATCTTTGTTGTGATGACAATTATGCAGCCTTGATGCAACATTGTGACTGAATGATATTCCACTAGTCTGACATATTTGTCAGTACACCTGTATGGTGCACCAGTATGCAGATGATCCCCTTTTGATATCAGGAATCTTTTGTAAAAATTGGGGTAGTAACTCCAATTTTTACACTGTTACGTTAACAATATCTTTGAGTTGTATTACTAATACTTATTCAGCGATCTAATCAAACATAGATCTTTGTCATTAAAACTGATATTTTAACTTGTACTTTACTTTAAACTTGACTAAGTCTTCTATGGATGTAGGGACAAAATCCCTATCATTTATACACTGCCAAGCCAGTTTCAGACTTGATGTTAGCAAGCACAACTTTGTTGACTTAAACAAGATTGCACCCGCCTGCACCGCCTCTGAAAGTGGTCCAACAAACTTATTTATTTCCAAAACAAACACACTGATGCATCTTGTGTGTGTGTGTTTTTTTTTTAAGGAATGCAGTTATGAATACCAACTGTGACTGAGTAATCCTACAATAACAAACTAGGCTGCCTCCAAACAGAGAGGGCAAAATGACAATAAGGAAATAGATTTCAGTTTTCCCTTTTTCTGTGTGGGAATGGTTAGACTCATTGAAATGGTCTTGGAAATAAAGATTAGGGACTGGATTTTCCATTCCAGTGGAAATACCCACAGGGTGAGCCTTGGGAGGAAGACTACTCAATTTACATTTCCCAAATCCCTCAATCCAAGGAGGAAAGTGTGGTACAGGGGAGCCAACAGAGTTGAAGGAGCAGGAGTGGGGGCAGCCAGCCCTCACTGCTGCCCAAAGTGCTCTGCACTGCCTCTCCCCCACCCCGTGCTCTCAGAGCCATCTGAAGCGTGCTGTGTGGGGTTCTTACATTCATTTAAAGGACCTGGGGCTTTGACTCCAGGCTCCCAGGCAGTTACCCCCTTTTTCCTCCCATGTTGGCAGGCCTTCGTGTGTTTCCTCGTCACTCAGGGGATAAAATGTAATGGTGGTACAAACACTGCATGTAAGCCAGCTCTAAGTGGCCATGAGAGCAATCATAACCCCACCAGTTGGCAAAGAAAACAGAATTTTCAAAGGGACACTGCAATTGACAGGCACAGTATGGAACCATTTATTTTAACCTACCATACAATGAAAAATAACACTCTGACCCTTACAAACCCCAACCCTTCATGGCCAGAACTTGGCATGCCTACTTGGCTATACTAGGGATTGCAGATGCATTTGTGCTCTGCTCCCCCACTCTCTTTCTCCTTGCCTCTTCCAGCCTACGCAGTTTCCTGACACGTAGGTCCTGACTCTGCCTTGCCTTGCACTCTGTGCAGCATTTTACACTCACTTGCATAAGATGTAAAGGGAAAAGATAATCAGACCCTTGCACCAAATTCTTGTAAAGTCCAGCTCTCTGCTCCTGTTTGGAAGCCATACATCACAAGTATTTTTTTAAAAAGTTATTTTTGTGGTATGTTAAAATTTGGGCTTGTCAATGTAAAGTGTTCCATGGAAATATCAGTTATGTCTGCTGTTTGGAAACAATACTGAAAGAAAACAGCAATTATAATAAATACATAGCTAAAGAAGGGAAAGATCCAGTATAACAAAGGAACTATTAAGGTAATGTTTTCTTTATAACACCTGGGGCACTGTTCCCATACAGCTCCTTTTATTCATGCTTCATCTCGTTTTCATGAGCTCCACTGAGACTAGAGAATTAGCTTAATAAGAAATAATAATAATAAAAATAGAATGTTTGTCATGTGAGGCTCTCAGAGCACTTTGCAACCAGTAATTGATTCTTACACACAACTGTGAACATTATTATCCCCATCCTACAGAATGGTACAGAGGTCAGGGTCATACAAGCAAGTGAGTGTTAGACCCTTGGTATTGAATCTAACTCCAGACTCCCAATCCCCATCTCTTCAAGATTATTTATGGTCTTTCACCTACATTTCATCCTCATATATCTATCTGTACCATGCCTGCTCACACTATCTGAATGGAATGGCCAGTGTGATATGCATGCCTGAACCACATGCATTGATAAAGCAAAACGATGCTTGAGGTCCCTAAAACGATCCCATTTTAGGTCTGAAGGGATGAATACTGACTTTCTGTAAATCTATAAGATTAGCCTGTAAAATGTTATGGTCATATAAAAATTGTGTGTAGGCCAGCTCTCAGTGATCATACTGGGAAAATCATGACCTGCTATTAATGAGCAAAACCAATCTGAAATGTAAGTGTTCTTTTAATGGAACAGTGTCAAAGTTATTTAAACAGAAGAAAAGACATATGTCTTGAAAGTTCTTCTGTATTATATATGTCTCACCTCTGATACCAGTAATGTATTTTATAATTAAAAGAATGCTTCACTATAGCCAGACATAAGAAAAATCCCATTCAATTTATTGAACATCCCAATGGAACAAAGAGGTAGATATGGCATAGAATTATGTAGATGGCATGCAGCTCATGAACCATGTAACAGACTGAGTTATACAGAGTAAACCTCAAAGGGTACAACTCTTGCATCCAAGGGATCATCTTAATCCAAACAGTCAGGCTGAACATTGCATGCTAGGACCTGTCTTCTAATAAGCTCTGTATTAAAGATGAGGGTTGCTGCATTGTTCCATTTTATGCAAATTGGGTTAAGCCTTTGGGTTCCTGGCATGTGGCCAAAGTGTCAGCTATTCATCTGAGCAAAGTCTGTGCATGATCCTGGCAGCAGCAGATCAATTTAAATAGCAGACATGGCATGGCAGGGTGACCCAGACAAACTTTCAAGGTTAAATCAGATTTTCAGATTTCCATACTAGATGGGATTATTGGTGCACAATACTGTGTTAAAGCTGAATATATATACGTGTCCCAGTGCATCTTTCAATGTCTCTCTGAAAATATGCCCTAAGAACAATCTTGTGAATATTTTCCACATGCTGGGGCGTACCCCAAACGACACGCCTTCCCCCCCAATGGAGAGGGGGTTCTTGTGCGTTACCTCTGGCATGCGCAGGGCTACAGCGTCGCCTCACCAACTCCAACTCTTCAAAACCAATGAGTCGGACGCCAGCGCACCGCGGTGCTTAAAGCCCAGGACTTCCAAAAATGCTATTTCGGTTCTTATGTGTGTGCTGAGCTTTTGAGCTGCGGGTCCATGTTGAGGCTGGTTCCCCTCTGCCCCCAGGGAAG